GGTTAAGTGTTTCAGGAAATGTGATATATTGTTTAGAAAATCTGCAAATCACTGTTCTTGTGAACGTATCAGTAGGGTTAGGAGGTCCATTCTCACCAATACAGAGCTCTGGCTTAAATCCTAGGCTGGCTTCTCTGGTGATGCGGAGGTACACGTGGTCCAGGAAAGCCAGCAGATCTATCTCAACCCCAGCGTTGCAGGCACCCCTTGTCCTCCGACATACTGAAATAAATTTCTTGGCCCAAGGCAGAGCCACTCGTGCCCCGCACGTGACCTCCACAAACCAGAACTCAGGGAGCAATTATTAAAGTTAGAAGGAACATATTCTCACCCAAGTGTTCAGTAAAAATATAATCAGTACTCTTTTTAAAAATTTTTATTTATGTATTTACTTTTTTTTTTCCCAATAGTTTATTGTCAAGTTGGTTTCCATTAACACCCAGTGTTCATCCCCAAAAGTGTGGTGTGGGGTGGAGGGGAAGATGTGCATGGAGGAGGGCACTTGTGGTAATCTGTGCTACTTTTGCCTTAATGTATTTATTAATGTGTTTATTGATTTCTTTATTCAGTGTGTACTCATTTATTAATTTATTTAGAGTGCTTAAGATGGGGAGAGGGTGTGAAGTAGAGATAGAGAAAGGGAGCATGCTCCATGCTGGCACGGAGGTCGTTGTGAGGCACAGACCAAGGGCCCTGGGATCATGATCTGAGTAAAATCAAGATATGGACATTCAAAAGATCGAGCCACCTAGTTGCCATTTGCTACATGAACAGTGTCAGATAAAAATAGAAAACTATAGAATCAAATATGTGTTCTGACTCTTCATTCATCCATCCATCCATCCATCCAATAATTACCACCATCCTCACCATATGGCCATGAAAGCTCACCACAGGTGTGGAGGGGAGCAGCCACACAAAACAGCGAACAAGTGAATATATCACATCAATGGAGAGTACTGCCATATTTACGATGCAGTAAGTACCCTTCAGGGAATAGAATACGTGTGACAGAACTCTCTCGATGTAGACTCTGAGTATCTAGAAGGAGGCAATCTAATGGGTCATAAATGAGGTAGAAAACTGACATAATACACATGGTGCTCTATTTTCTCCAAGGATTATCCCGTTGTGGGTCAATTGGTTGGCAAAAGCCTGCTAATATTACATTGCTCTGCATAGAGAATGCTTTCACGTGGGGAGACAGCTTTTCTGTAATAACTAGAGTCATCAAGAAGTCAAAAATGACGAGTAAGTCAGTCAATCTAGGTACAACCCCCTGAAAACGCTTGTTGTGGTGTCAGTGGTACATGCTTCCTGAAGTAAGACATCCCAAAGGACATCCAGACAGGAGAACACTTGTGACTTCCAGAGGCAGGACCTAGAGAGGGGGCGGGAGAATGGGATAGGATGAAAACTCTGATGTTATTGCCGATTCTATGATAGCATTAGATTTTGTAGGTGTATGTTATTCTTGAGGTGCTGACTAAAACATCTTTTCGCAAAACCATCCCCTTCCAGATGCTGGCAGGAGACACTCACTTGACTTCGCTCATGGACATAGATTGAGGAATTTGGACAGGGAATGTGGGGATGCATCTTTTCTGCTCTATGATGCTGGGGCCGCCGCAAGGAATCCCCGCTGGCACTGAGCTGGAATCTTCTGGATGGGACTCCTCCTCGTGTTTGTTCTTAAAACTCCACTTGGCTGCAGGACCTCCAGGAGACCTCCCGCTGGTCTAGGCATTTTCTGCCCAAGTAGGCTTCCTAAAGGTGGTGAAACAAGTGACCCAGTAGGGGCTCACGGAATTTTTCCAGCATAAACATGGAAGTTACACAGCACTGTTTTCAGGCTACCTGTCCGTGTCATGTAAGCGCTAGGGGAAGGGAATAACCCTTCGCAATCCACTCTGTTATCTTGCCACATGGATAGAACAGTCTTACAGGTTACTAGCTGTACAACCATTCCAAAGTCTGTGGTGCCGGACATGTTGCCCTTTGACACAGGGCTAAGTGGAAGAGCAGCGTCAGGCTCAACTCCTGCCTCCACCCCCATGAGCAGTTTAGGAAGGAAACACATTTAGAAAGGCTTCCAGAAAGGTTAAAAGACAAGAGAACCTAATGCACATGAAAAGTTATTCTAGCAGGGAATCATGCCCTCCACTGGCACATCAGGACAGATCACTGTCGGAGCCCTTTCCCATTGACATAGGCAATGTGCGGTGTCTGCGTATCAATTATGCTGCACTGAGGCTCAAAATGAAATCGCTAAAATAAAAGCCAACATCAATCTTCTAGCACTGCACTTATCTCCCTCATGGTAAATTTCTGCCATCAACTAAAAGGCATCTTCTGAGATGGTAGATTGCAAAGTGTCTTGCCATTCTTTCCATGAAATCCTTTCTATGGACATCATATTTTAATTTATTTATTTTAATTTTTGAGAAGGGGAGGAGTAGAGGACTGAAGCAGGCTCTGGGATGAGAGCAGAGAGCCCAACGAGGAGCTCGAATCCACGTACTTTGAGATCATGACCTGAGACAAAGTCAGAAACAACCAGCTGAGGCATCCTGGTGCCCCTGGAAATGTTACTTGATATTGGAAGAAAAGTGCAATTGTCTCTGAAGAAAACATTTTCACATTTCATTGGGTTTCTGGAGACATTAGAATATGTTTTACAATATTAGTGAATGAGTGAAACTCAATTTGCAGATAACATATTTAGCTTTTCATTCCCATGCTCAAGTCTTTTGAGCCACATCAGGCCTCGGGTTCCCTATCCTGGGCCTTCGTGATGGAAGTGTTTTCCACATGAATGTAGGTATTATGTAACATGGAAGCATTCTATGATAGGAAGCCGTAAATCCAAAACATATCGTGGAATGTAAACAACATTTCAAACAAAGTTTTTGTCCTTCCAGTTCTATGCAGTATATAAACTATTTTATGGATATGTATTCATGCTTGTTATGCCATTCATAAATGAGTACACATTTGTCCATAGGTATGCCAATTTTATATCAATAAGACTAACTCATATCATCCTGTTCTACTAGTTGTCAATTATAGGGAACCATTAAGGGTATCTTTGTAAATCCGTAGTCTAGTGACCTCATTCAAGTGAACATATGCTCGGTACTGCACTACACATCATTAGAAGCAATACACTGTGAACCAGTTGTTGTTTTTTTTTTTTTTTAACTTTCAATTTTACTGCGCGAGAGCCCTCTACATATTTGGTGAACTATAATGAAGAAATTTCTGTAGTTCAGGCTTTTAGAAGTGGGAATATGTAGTGTCGATTTTGAATGAATCTAGATGTACAAGTACCCCGGATGAAGACAGAATAGGTGGTGATGCTCAAGGACACCAGATGATCTACTGGGTACATGGTACGTGTAAGTCCGTGAATACCCCTGCTGAGGTAGGGAGGCAGAGAGTCGGCTGGAGTAAAGGACAGGCTTGAGAGAGAACAGGGATCATGAGAGAGTTTGGAGGAAATGCTACACAGGGAAATCAGGAGGAGTGAATGGATGAAAACATGACGAGGAGAGAGGTTCTTCAGGAAAGGTAACCAACTCAGTCCCTCGTGGGTAGAAGGGAGGACAAATCATTATGATGCACAGAGTCTGTTTGGGGAAGCACAGTGCTGCTGTCGTGTGGTTTCAAACTGATTCTGGAATTGATGTGCTTTCCTTCTTTCCCAAACAGTGTGAAGCATATAAAGCATTATGTGGAGATACAGTAGTCTGAGTCAATTCTTGGCAGGAAGAAGGGGAGGGCCGTGAATGACCTTGGGTGGCAAATAACAAATAGGGTGTAGGGAGTGTCAAGCGGGAAGTGGGATCATTGGTAGAGAAAGTATGGGGTTGGACAGAGACGGGCTTCAGGTCAGTGAAGTAGGACGTGGAAGGGAAGCGACTGAGAGGGTGAGGGAGCCCTCTGTCTTCTATGATTTTATGAGTTTAACGGTCATCCAGCCCATTTATTTCTAATTCTGACTTAATGGAAAGTAAAAAGGAAGGACGTAGGGCATAGAGATATTATCCCCTCCTGTCCAACATGAAGGTGGGTTGCTGAGTATTTGTGAACAGGAAAGAAACTACATTTGCCCTCCTTATCCCTGCAGGTTCCTCAACTACCTGAGGCTCCCAGTGCCTCCTATCTCACTTTACAGGATTGGTCGCCATGGCTGTCATCATAATGCATCCCTTCTACCACACCCAGGATAGTGCAGCTCACCTCAGTAACCGCCTTGCCTACAGCAAATTCCCCATGCTGCTTCCTGTGCACAGGAATTCCCAGCTGCCTGTGGCTGCAAGTGCCCATGTCCCTAGGGACTGTTCCTGCTGTGAACTTAGGAGACTTGCTCTAGGCTGTCCCTAGTTCAGACCTTCCCTGATCCTTATTGATTGGATCCCGCTCTGTAATCCATAGGTATGTCTTCTCCTGTCTGTAGTACATACTCACTCTTTTCTCCATGGCCTCCAACTTAAAAAAAAAACAACTATCTTTTAGACTTACACAAATAGTGAACTAAAGGTTAAAATGTAGGCTACATCATGCGTTCAAACAGTTTCTAACACAAGAAAAAAAAATACCCTTTTTGTTACAAATTTGCATTCATATTCTTCAGGGTTTGTTTGTTTTGTTTTGTTTTCAACACAGACACTGCACATGCATGAAGATGTTTACTTAAGAGTTTTACTTTTGTCCCCACATGAGAATCATTTCCATTATTTGTACACCCCGATGTCTCGGTCATTTGAACTTCTGACTTCAGGCATGTGATGTTCTCAGGGTTCCTGAGTTTGGGATTAGGGTCAGTATTGACAGTGGGGAGCCTGAAGATCACTACATTCTTTAGCTCCTTCTCTCTCTGCCATACCACCTCCCTCTCATTCTCTGCCTCTCTGTATCTCTCTCTCTCTCTCTCTCTCTCACACACACACACAGAAACACACACAGAAACAATTCAACAATTAGAAACATCGCTTTCATTACTTTGACATGATGAACATGGATTCTTATTTTATTTACTATGAAGACAATAAAGAGAAGTGGCACATTTCTGTGATACAGTCTTCGTGAAAAGTGCACAACGGTGAGATCACTGAAGACAGGAAGAAATTGGAAGGTAGAAAGTGCTGAGCGCAGGAATGACAATGGCCTGACTGCTGGTCCTTCAGAGCTTGCTCTGTAGGTGGCAGAAATATCACCAGTTTGGTCATGATGGTGGTGGCCCAAACCCGGAGATATACTGAATATCATTTAAGATCTATTGTTTTAAATGTTCTCAAGGCTCTGATACATGTATAGCTTGGCTCACATGCATGTGCTCCTAGGAGATCTGTGCTATCACAGGAAAGAATGTAATCTGAGTATCACTCCTTCTTCCTCAAGGACAGGTCTCAGTAGAGAGGCCTCCCCTACTACTACTGGAGCCACCACAGCAGCTTCTCAATTAAACTGGCTTACAGAAAGGGTCTATGGACTCAGAGGTTTTGGTCTCACTTCCTCGCTATCTGAGAAACTGTGCGTAAGGACAGTTGTCCCCCCTGCCATGACAGCGAGCACAGGGATAGCCACAGGCTCTTCCTCAGGCTGCAGCCCAGGGATGAGCAGAAGCCCTGCACTGGCTGAAACCTCTTTGGATTCAGAGGAGCAGTTGTGGATTCCAGATCCCAACTGTGTACTTGAGTCAGAGTCGTCATCCAGGAGAGAGCACATGTGCATATGGTGCAAGCCCTGCTCAGCAGCACTGCACTGAGGGGATGGAGCCAGGCGGCCCACCTTGATTTGGGAACTGAAGGACCTAGTTCTTGTTTGCACCATGGCCCGGGGTCTCCTAACTCCTCTGCATGATGTCACAAGTCACATGAGGGGAGTGGACACTGTCTCCACACTGAATAGCACATACGGGCCCTACCTGTGTCCTGTCCCCTCGAAAGCTGGTCACGTGTCACTCAACTGGAGCCTGAGGAGCAAATTCATAATGAGGCCTGAACATGAGGAGATGACAGACAACAACAGGAGGGACTCTGTTTTGCAATGTCTGAGGAATGTCAGAAAGAATCTGTCATCAAAAAGTGCCCCAGGGATGGGAACCAGGCCTTCCCAGGTTGCTGCTGGGCAGAACACGCCAGTAGCACCACAAAACGGTCGGACTTCAGGCTGGGGGTTTCTGAAGCACTGATAGGTTTTGGGAGGAGAGGGCGCCCCACATCGGAAGCACTCCTTTGGAGCACTCATCAGCATAGCAGCACCACATGTGGCCCCGAGCACCACCCTGCAGTTGGGGTAAGCGAGGTCTGAACTTTTAGGACCGCCTTGCCGCAGCACTGCAAAGGCAACTGCAGGACGCAGCACTAAGGAGAACCCTGAGTTTGGAGACACTATTACTCGAAGCTCCTATCGCCAGGGACCTTCCCCATCAGAGCCCCCAGACGTAAATCTGGGGGCCTAGCACCACTGTCTGAAAGAGTCTCTTTAGAGCTGTTTGTCCAGCATCTTCTCTTTGTATCCCTGCCCCAGGGTAAACACAGTGAGGAGAAGCCTTACCAAGAGTACCCCTCATTACCTGTCCAGGGCTTGTTGAGACACAAAAGGCTGGGTTATGTACCATGACATTTCTCTCCAGGTCAGGACCCACTTCCTTGGAACCTAAGAGGACAATGCAGGCCTTGGAGAACCACTTCCCTTAGAATTGGCCAATGTCCACCTTCCTCCCGGGCCGGACCACATGGGAGCCTTGTTTCCATTCAAAATGCCTATCTGCTGCTGACCTCTGTGATCCTGGAGCAAACAAGGGGCTCACAGCATCACATACTAAAGTGGGTGCTTTGAGGCTGTTGTTCATCTCTTATGGTTGGAACCCTCAGCACAGTCGCAGAGGACCAGGTTCCCTTTTCCCACAGTCCTGGATCTGGAAGACTCCTTCAGTCTGTCTTTGACTCCTCCCCTCTGCTTCTGTTCTTCCCAGAGCCCTGGTTTCTTCTCGACATATCTTGTAAAGCCTCGTTTCCTTCATCTCCAGAGCTCTCCTGTGAGTGTGCTCTGTAGATTAAGTGTGGGAAAGTATAACGGGCAACATGGGAGAAAGATCTAATTCATATTACCTGTGGCTCAATCAATGGATTAGAGAAAGGAGCAATCCTGATGGTTAGGACAGACACCTGTGTTTTCAAAGTGTTTTTGGAGTTTAAGGAGAACACGTGGAAGGTGTTCCCAAGAGCTCGAGGGAGGAATCAACAGGGATAGTCATCCATACTGGTTGGAACTGCTACTTCTCAAACACCAGTCTGATGAGGAACTTCTTCTACCATTCCTAGCTGTCAGCAGGAGTCCACATGTAATGGACTCGACACAAGAGCCCAAGACTAAAAGCCTTTTCTGTGTAGCAATTTCATTTCTTTCACATTGTTGCTTCAAAGTCCTAGGCAAATCACCTGTGTCCACCTCTCATCTGCATATCATGGGCCTGGCAGGAAACATTCTGGCCTGGGGAAACAGAGAAGACAATGACTTGTGCTTGTCACATATGCTTGCGGGACTTGTGATACCCTCATTGGAATATCAGGACTCCCTCCATTCCTCTCCTCTGTTCTGCAACAGGAGAGATGAAATGGATTCATTTGAAATGGAATTAAGCTAAAAATAGGTAAGTTTTTAAGAAAGACAAAGACTTCTCGTTCGTGGTCTGATATGTATGCAGCTTAGGCATCATCACCCCAGTCCTCACCACAAGAGAAACTCGGCAGAACAACCTGAAATAAAGCATTCTTAAATCCGACTGAGAACTGGTCCCATGGGGCAACTGTCATTGTAATCATTGGAGACATAGATGAACACATAGGTGAACATAAGAGACTCAGGAGGAGATGATTCTGCATGAGCAGGGATGTAGGCGGGAACACATCCACTCTGAAGGATGACTTTCTGGAGACTCAGTATGCCGAAGCCACAAAAGTCCCATGACTGTCACAGAATCGATCAAGAAGTAAGCCTGATGTTCACCAGGACTTTTCCACATGAGGAAAGCCAATGAGGAAGCCTGCTCTTGAAGCCGGCCTCTACTGCTCACCCGAGCCCTGTCAAGTGCCCTCCACTCAGCCCTCAGGGAAGGGCCGTGCATTGCTGTTGGTTCATCATGCCTGTGCCCTCCCAGGACCTGAACCTAAATCTGGCCATGGCTGTGGCTTCTGGCACCATGCCCCACCTGTGGGCCAGGAACTGAACTGCTGCTTATAGCCACGTTGGATTTCTTCATGGGGGAAGCCAGAAGTTTGTCATGACATGGAAAAGGCCTGGATGGGCCTGCAGAAGTGGATCAGGAACCTGAACCTCCACCTCCGTGCGATGCTTGGACAGACCCTAGAGCCAAACAAGAAACCTGACCAAAACACTAACAGGCACCCTGCACCCTGTCCTTGGAGCAGATCCCTGCATGTGTGTCATTTCACAGACTATGTCTTTCATAGGCTTGATCCTACCCCTAACCATGGTTTTTACTCTCAGGGGGCCCACTATCTTAGGTCTCGGCGAAGGCTAGAATCGGGCCAATGTCCGGCAGAGAATTATTTCGTGACAAGATCTGAGGTTCCTCATGCCTTTTCCAAGGCAACGATGGGGCCAGAGAAGGGCATCCTGAACCTAATCCTATGCATCGCCCCCACACTCAGACAGCTGCCTAGCTCAAACCCTCAGCTTGACACGCTCTTGACCCTCGCCCACTACTCAACCCACTTGGGGAAACACAGTCCTGATGATGTTTCTGACCATGTCTCCTCCCAGGAATGAACCCTACCCTAACCGTGGCACTGGCTTTAGGGGTCCTCAGCCCTACCTCTGAAGAAAGAAAGAACTCGAGACCTCAGATCGGCATCCACTGCATCCGAAAGGCAGGCACAAGATCACCACAACATGTTCATGGCCGGGATCTAGCTCTGGAAAAGGATCCAGAGCTAGAGCATAAGCCTGTCCCACAAACTCACACAAGCCCCGAATCCAAATCCTCACCTGGAGGGTGTATCCTCAACTATCCCACAGGGGATTTCACTGCACTTCTCGTGGTGCGGCTCCTGCCCACGCCGGGAATCAAACCCTAACCCTAGCCATGCATCTGACCCTAAGGGGATCCCCCAAGCAGCTGCGAGGACAATAGTCACTTGGGGCATTTGACTGGCACAGAATCGCTCAGCAACAAAGCCTGATGTTCACCATGACATGTCCATGCCAGGCTTCTGCCTACAGAAGGAGATCCTGAGCCCCACCTCTGCCTGGCCCACAGAGTTTGCAGGCTCTTGAACCCAGCCCGTAGCCTCTCCTCCCACCAATATTAAGTGTCCTCCAATCAGTCCTCTGGGGAGAGCCCTGCACTGCTGTTGGTTCAGCCTCTGCCCCCTCCTAGGACCTAAACCTAGGCCTGGCCATGGATCTGGTCTCTACGGATGTCACATGACACCTGTGTGCAAGGAATACAACTCGGTCTCTGGTTACCTGATTTCTCCAGAAAGGAAGCCTGAAGTTCATCATGACCTGTACAAGGCCCAGATGGGCCTGCAGAAGTGGATCATGAGCTCTGACCTCGGCCTCTCTGAGACGCTTGACCAGACCCTGGACCCAAACACTAAGCCTGTTCAAAACACAAACAGGCACCCTCATTTCATCCTTCTGGACAAATCACTGCATGCCTGTTGTTTCATAGGTTGTATCCTCCAGTGACTTGATCCTAACCCTAGCCATCGTTCTTTCCCTCAGGTGGCCAACCTCCTAGGCCTCAGGAAAGAACAGAATTAGGGCCCATGCCAACCCCAAAAGGATTCAGCCAGAAGCCCAGAGGGTCCCCACATCATTTTCAAGACAATGATGGAGCTACAGAGGGGATTTGGACCCCACCCTACACATCTCCCCCACGCTTGGCCAGCCTCCTGGCCCAAACTCTTAACCTGACACACACGTTGACCCTCTTCTTCAGCTAGGCTCTCTGGGGGAACACGGCCCTGCTGTTGCTTATGACCCTGTCTCCTCCAGGGACTTTACACTTCCCTTACCTTGGGTCTGATCTTAGGGCTCCTCGATCTTACTCTGAAGAAAGGATGGACCAGAGACTCCTGACTAGTGCCAAGTTCATCAGGGATTAAGGGGCAGATCACTATACTGTTTTCATGTCCAGGATGGAGCGACCTCTAGAAAAGGATGCAGAATGAAGCAGCAGCCTGACCCACATGTTCGGCCACCTTCTGAACCCAAACCCTAAGCCAGTCCCTCACCCTCACGTTCGCCCTCAGCTCTCCTGTGGGGAGATCCCTGCAATTCTCACAGTTCGTCCCTACCATCACCGGGGTCTGAACCATAACCCTCCCCATACCTCTGATTCTACAGACATCCATTGGGCTGGTGTGTAGAGAAGTGACTTGGACCACTTGAAAGGCACAGATCTCTGAGTGAAAAAGCCTGATGTTCAGCAGAACGTGTCCACAGGAGCCTTGGGGCCCCCAGAAGGATTCTTGAACCCAAACCTCCGCCTGGCAAACAGCAGTAGCTGGCCCTTGAAGCCTGCCCCTACTGCTCACCCGAGCCCTGTCAAGCGCCCTCCACTCAGACCTCGGGGAAGGGCCCTGCACAGCTGTTGGTTCATCATGCCCTGTGCCCTCCCAGGACGTGAACCTAACTCTGGCCATGGCTCTGGCCTCTAGGAATGCCACACCCCACCTGTGGGCCAGGAACTGAACTGGTGCCCATGGCCACAGAAAATTTCTTCAGGGAGGAAGCCAGAAGTTTGTCATGACATGGAAAAGGCCTGGATGGGCCTGCAGAAGTGGATCATGAGCCCAAACCTCCACTCCTCTGAGATGCATGGCCAGAACCTGGAGGCAAACAGGAAGCCTGACCAGAACACTAACAGGCACCCTCCACCCTGCCTTTGGGGCAGATACCTGCAAGCCTGTCTTTTCAGAGACAGTATCCTTCATAGGGATGATCCTACCCCTAACTATTGTTCTAGCTTTTGGTGGTGGGGGGTGGCCCACACCCATTATCAGGGCAAAGAATAGAGTCGTGACTATACCCAGAGCAGAATTATTCAGTGACAAGACCTGTTGCTTCCCAATTCTTCATTTTATATTTCTGAGAGTTTTTTCTTGTTCCCTGATTAATCCTTTATAGGTGGCCTCCCTTTTTGCACAGGCAGTTTTCAACCAACTAGTATTCTCTGAGTGTCTACTGTGTGCCAGACTTTTCTTAGGTGTGGGGACGGTGTAGGCATTTCCTGCCTCTCTGGCAATAACGAGAGGTGTATTCTTCCTCCTGCTCCTTCCTTGCTCTGTTACCTCTGAGCTGTAGCTGTTAGGGCCTTAGATCAAAAGGCTGTGACCCTTGCGTGCCCTTCCTCACATACACATACAAAGCCATTCAAAAAAAATGGACACAGACACACACACACACACAATACACACACACACACACACACACACACACACACACCAGAGGAGAAGACAGTATAAAGACAATGAGGTAGCTGGGAAGCAGGTGAGTGAGTGCTACAGGATTTATGTACCCAGGAAACAAAGCCTTTGGCTGACCAAGAGGCAGACCCATTTGCTCCTCATGGCCCCAGGCTGTTCGGGTGACTTGAAGTCTGTTCTGAACCGAAGTGTGACCCTTGCTCCCATGCCAATTCCTGGGA